GGTTACTTGTTCGAGGCCCGGCAGCCGCTCAAGATGACTTGTTGCTTAAGGAGGTGGTAGAAGTGGCCACAGCTGTGTTCCCTCTGAGCTGAGTTAGTATGAGCCGGCTCACAGTTTTTTAGCCTCCAGCTCACAGATTTTTGTCTCCGCTCAGGAAGGATGGCCCCAGGGCAAAGTAATTTATGCAGAGGCCAAATCACTCACTCACAAGTTTAATGCCAGTAGCTCGCAAGGTAGAATTTCTGCTCACGAGACTCCACAGCTTAGAGGGAGCATTGGTGCCCACGGCCATCCCATTTCTACCTCACCTTCCCCAGAAGCTGAAGGAACGAAAGCCTTATTACCGCTTCATACTCCAGCCAGCCCTGTCAGGCTTCCTGAACTCTTAAGGTTCCTTGGAGGAAGATAACATTCTGGTCACCTTGGGAACAGGCAACCAAAAATGGTCAATACACATGAACCCACTGGAAGCTGCCTTCTACTGAACCAGACCCCTCTTGGTCCGTCCAGGTCAGTCTTGTCTACTCAGACTGGCAGCCGCTATTCAGGCTCCCTGGTGCAGAGAGGTCTTTCCCGTCACCTCCTGCCTGGTCCTTTTCCACTGGAGATGCCACCGGGGATTGAACCTGGGACCTTCGGCATGCCAACCAGAGGCTCTGCCACTGAGCCACGGCCCCTCTTAACAGCTCTCCAGGGTCTCAGGCGGAGGTCTTTCCCATCACCTCCTGCCTGGTCCTTTTTAATTGGAGATACCAGGGGTGGCCCAGCTCTTGGGAGAAAAGGGATTATCACAATTGTTTAGGAACTGGCACATGCGGTTTCTGAACTGGCAGACTTGGTCTAGAGCTCTCTCTCTCTCTCTCTCTCTCTCTCTCTCTCTCTCTCTCACACACACACACACACACACACACACACACACACACAGAGAGAATATGCAGAGCAATACGTTTTACTGTCACAGCACCTCTCTAAGGTAAGTTGTTTGAGAAAATGTGACGTACCCGTGGCCAAAGGAGAGTTAAGGTTGCCCACATTCACATTCTCCCACATCCCAAGACTACAGTGTCTGCAGTTCTTCTGACAAGAATTTGGAACTATTGTGAAGATACAGTGTGCGGACTCTAATCTGGGAGAACCAGCTTTGATTCCCCACGCCTCCACTTGCAGCTGCTGGATGACCTTGGGCAAGCCGTAGTTCTGACAAGAGCTGTTCTTGAAAAAGCCGTTTCTGTCAAGAGCTCTCTCAGCCCCACCTGCCTCACAGGGTGTCTGTTGTGGGGAGGGGGAGGGAAAGGAGTTTGTCAGCCGCTCTGAGACACCTTTGGGTAGTGAAGGGCAGGGTATAAATCCAATCTCCTCTTCTTCTTCTTCTTCTTCTATTGCAGTCCAGGGCAGTTGTTGTGTACCCAGCGAGACAGCACACGTGGTCGGGCCCGCACACGTGGCCATGCGAAGGGCCCATTATAGCAGTGTCCCCTCTAAGCTGAGTCGCTCACCATTTTTTAGCCTCCGGCTCATGCATAGCTCAGGAAGGGTGGCTCCAGAGCAAACGGATTGATGCAGCAGCCAAATCGCTCGCTCACAACTTGAATGCCAGTAGTTCACAAAGTAAAATTGTTGCTCACAAGACTCCACAGCTTAGCAGGAGCATTGGCCCAGGGATATGTTGAAATCAAACAAGTGATTTTCCAAGTGGCAAGATCAACCCTGGTTAATTTTTACTGTGACGTATATGACATAGAAGTTTATGACCTCTGTTCCCTAACCCAGTTTTCATGCAAATACTGAACTGGTTTGTAAACTAGAGTGACGAGGGCGATCAGGGGTCTGGAGACCGAGCCCTGCGAGGAAAGGCTGAGGGCCCTGGGAATGTTTAGTTTGGAGAAGAGGAGAAGAGGAGACTGAGGGGGGACGTGATGGCTCTCTTTAAATATTTGAAAGGCTGTCATGTGGAGGAGGGCCAGGAGCTGTTCCAGTTGGCAGCAGAGGAGAGGACCTGAAGCAATGGGTTTAAGTCACATGCAGAAAGGTACCAGCTGGATATTAGGAAAAACCTTTTCGCCGTCAGAGTGGTTCAGAGGTGGAATCAGCTGCCTGGGGAGGTGGAATTAGCTCCCCTTCCCTGACAGCTTTCAAGAAGAGGCTGGACGACTATTTGTCAGGGATGCTCTAGGCTGGTCCTGCATTGGGCAGGGGGTTGGACGACTAGATGGTCTGTATGGCTCCTTCCAACTCTATGATTCTAGACCAAGGCTTGAGTTAGAGTGGTGCCTCTCGATCTTTTCTAGGTGTACCTTTCGACCCGACGTATGTCCTGAGCCGGACTGTGTCCAATGTGATCAGCTCCATCACCTTTGGCAACCGCTTTGACTACGAAGACAAGGAGTTCCTCTCCATGCTGCGCATGATGCTGGAAAGCTTCCGTTTCACTGCAACCTCGTGGGGGCAGGTAAAAATGGAAGGAGGGGGCGAAGGAGGGAGGGAATTGGGGACTTGGATCCCAAGAATTCGATCACACCTATACGTAAATTCCTCTCTTCTTCATTTCGCTGAACATGGCGTTCCTCATAGGAGTAAGGATGTTTGTTTTTCCCTTTCCCCATCCCTGCAATCCCAACGCACAGCTCTACGACTTTTTCTCCGGGCCCATGCAGTATATGCCTGGACCTCAACAGAAAGCCTTCAAGCAGCTTGCCGGGCTGGATGAATTTGTCTTGAGGAAGGTGAAAGAACACGAGAAGACCCTGGACCTCAACTCCCCTCGGGATTTCATAGACAGCTTCCTGATAAAAATGCACCAAG